CATACTCGACAACGTCATGACTTTGAACGAGGCGGCCAAAAAGATAACCGAAAAAAGGATGAAAGCTGCAATCCTGTTTTTCGACTTCGAAAAGGCCTATGACCAAGTCAACTGGGATTTCCTTCACGCGTGCATGGAAAAAATGGGGGTTGGCCCAAATTTCAGGAAGTGGGTCAAAGTGTTGTACGCGGATGTAACCGGCAGACTGCAGGTCAATAGGATCCTTTCGGAAACCTACCCCATCTCCAGATCCGTACAACAAGGTGACCCCTTAGCTCCACCCATCTTTCTCTTCATTATGGAAGCGATAGCTTCCTTCCTCCGCAAAGATCCGTCCATAGATCGACTCACCGAACGGAACTTTAACCCACTGCACGACTTCGCCCTACCCACCGCTCTGATGTTCGGAGACGATCTCACAGTCCTTATCCGTGCCAACAACAGTTCCTTCCAGGCCCTCGTGAGGGCTATGGAGGCCTTTCGTCTTGCATCTGAAATGAAGGTCAATTGGAGCAAGACCGAAGGTTGGTGGTTAACAGACGAGACACCCCCCCAACCTAAGGGCACAGCCACACCCATGTCATGGTCCACAGGCGAACAGGCACTCAGATACCTAGGGATCATGGTCAACAAGGATGGGGTATGGCCAGGAATGGGCCACGGCCTAATTGCCAAAGCTATAACCCGCCTGGCCCCTTGCAAGAACGCACAAGCATCACTGATAGAAAGGGCTTTAATTATAAACAGAGCCATCTTCTCCACGCTATGGTATATCGCATCCATCTGGTCTCCCCCAGACGCTGACTTCCAAACCATAAAGGCCAAAGCAAGATGTTATCTGTGGACAGGGGATCCCAACCGGACCTCATGCATCAACAGGGTAGCATGGAGCCACATCATCAGGAAACCGCAGGAGGGAGGCTTAGGCCTAATTGACCCCAAGCAGGAGTTAACAGCACTACAGATGAAATGGATCACTAAGATCCTGACCAGACAATACCTACCGTGGACCAAGATGGCTCTAGACAACATAAGAAACCTAGCACCGATATGCTCCCCACCAAACATGTGCGGCTACTTTTGGATTACGGCGAAGGAGTGGACAATAAGATCAGGCAGATCCCGCAGAAACACTACACGAAACTCAGACAATCAGGCAGCCCCAACACCCAACCCGTACTGGACCCCGACTCTGAAAGCCTGGAGACGTATGATGCCAAGCAAACATGGCACAGTGGAAATTAAAGAGGAGGCCCTGAGACAACCGTTGTTCTGCAACGATTGGATCAAGGACCTCGAGGGCAACCCCTGGCCACTAAGAAATAGGGACCGGAGATGGCTGTCATGGGTTGAAAAAGGGGTGTGGCAGGTTAAGCACTTGTGGGCAGAAGAACGGGGAGAATGGCGAACGGAACATGAACTCCGATACACTCTAAGAGGCTGCCACGCTCTCGCAGATAACCTATGCACAATCCAGAAGAGCATCCCACCCCACTGGATTTGTCTCTTGAAAGAAGACTTCTCCTGGAAACCAGGGGACTGGGGTATACTGGTATCCCAAACCCCACCGAATAGAGCATACCGGTTCGTATCCCGCACCTCAACGACCGGCTACCGTTCCAAATTCTACTCCTATCCCATCGCCAACCATAACCTCCAGGAACTAACCATCTTGAACAGAGAACCGCAGCTAGAGACTATAGAGTCCTTTCTGCTGAGAAAAGTGAGGGTATCGAAGACCAAACCATGGATATTCTTCCAGCCCGACCTCATCATCGCGGAACTCGAATTCGACCCCAAGGAATGGGTATGGAAACAAGGCGAATCCGGAAAAACCAGAACGACACTGGAATACGATGTGAAATTCGAGTACAATCTAGGCCTACGGACCACGGACCCCAACCCCAAACTTGAAGACAGATGGAGAGAGACATTGAACCTAGAGCCAACAGCCTCAATGACCATCCCCTGGACAAAATACCTCCCCATAAAACCAGTTAGAATCCGAAGCCTACAATGGCTCCTAGCCAACGCAGCACTCCCTGTCAATCAGTGGCTCCACAAAAGACGAAAACACTCAGACCCCAACAGCTCGGAACGATGCGCAATGTGCGATGACAGTGTCCCTGAAGACATCCCCCACTGCCTCCTATACTGCAGCCAGGCAGCCTGGATATGGACCAAAATCCAAAACCTATGGCACCATCTCTTCTCAGGCCCCCCCCCCAACCTCACCCCCCAGAACATCCTACTTCTATCTAACATCCACGACAGTCTCAGAGGCGGAAAAGCAGTCTGGTTCCACATGCTCAGGAAGCTAGCTCTGTGGGTAATCTGGAAAAGGAGATGCACCAAGACTATCGAGGGTACAGAGGTGGCAAGGGAAGAAATGTGGGCTCTACTGCTGGGAATGGCTGAAACCGAGATTCGATCCAGATGGAAGGAGGTGACAGCAACAACGAAAGGCAGACCAGAAAGGACAGCCATCAAAAGACGGGTTTTCATGAGAAACTGGCTTTTACAGGGAAAGATTGCAACTGTGACAGATAACAGATTGATTTGGAAGAAATGGCACAGCACAACTCCAACAAGGACGGTGACCCAGGGAGGGACAAACTGAGATTTTAATCTCAATAGTATAGACAACTCTCCTCTTTTCTTGCTTCACATGAACCATCTGACAGAGTCCAAATAGATTCTGAGAGGAAAAGGGGTAGGGCAAGCTGACAGTCAATCCTCCGGATATGGAGCAATCAATG